GTGTAGAAAAAAAAGTTCGGTTTCTTTTGGGTACCCCCTCGTATATATATATATACACAGGGTGTTTCACGACTTCAGGGCATAACTGCAGGAGGTGATTTCCTAGGTCTTTGTGATCAAAAAAGTTCATATAAACATTTTTTTTTAATAATACATGAGCGGCAATCAGAATACAGTGCATTCTATAAGCTAATGTGTTGATCCGTGCTAGGTATCCTAGCTACAGCTGAGGTGTGTTGAGGTTAACGCCCAGCGATGTTACCTCAGAGTTTTCAATTATTATCTGTTGGCCACTGTCTCTTAAGTCTCCTGTTGACTGGTTGTATTATTTGGCTGAGTAGTGGATTTGGGTGATCTTCTATGTTTTGTATGTGCCTGGAAGTTTTTGTTTTGATGACTTCTTGGATTGTAGGGATGCGGAGGTCACTGTGAAGTGTGTAATTGGTTATGTACCATGGGGCGTTCACTATTTGTTGGAGTATTTTTGACTGCTGTCTCTGTATGATGGCTGTGTTGGATTTACTGGCACATCCCCATAGTTCAATGCCGTATGTCCATATTGGTTTGATGATAGTTTTGTAAATTAGGATCTTGTTTTCCATTGTCAGTTTTGACTTCCTGCTGATTAGCCAGTTTAATTCTTTGTTTTTCATTACTATCTGGTTATTCTTTTTTTGGATATGCTCTCTCCAGTTTAGTTTGTTATCCAGGTGTAACCCTAGGTACTTAGCTGTGCTCTTTTGTGGTATTACAATATTGTTGATTAGCACTGTTGGACTGTCCCCATGCTTCAATCGAAATATTACATGCGTTGATTTAGCCTCATTTACTTTAACCCTCCATTTGTGCATCCAGTGTTGAAGTTGATTGAGGTGTTCTTGTATGTAGGATGCTGCTGTTGAAATTTCTTGGTGACTAGCAAGTACAGCTGTATCGTCAGCGAATGTCCCCATTATAGTTTTTTGCAATGTTTGTAGGTTGGATGTGTATAGTATGTAGAGAATTGGTCCAAGTACACTCCCCTGTGGTATGCCTGAAGTAATTGTATAGAGTCTGGAAGTTTCTTCTCCTACTTTAGTGTAGAATTCTCGTTCTTGTAGGTGGGACTTTAATATTCAAAAATATATTGGGAGAAGGTTCATATAAACATGTGTCCGATATTGGACGGTTACGGAGTTATGACCGTTTTAAACTCAGAATAAAAGGTAACAATTACTGACAATAAACGGAACAAAATAATAAACCAGCATAATACATGATACATTTAAAGTATGAATGTAAAGTTAACTTCGTGAAATTACCTTTAATTTGAATTGATTGGTGCTTAAAGATGATTTTCAAAAATGCCACCGCCGGTCACAACACAAGCTGCCGCTCGGTTGTGAACCACGCGGGTAGCACGTAGCAGCTTCAGCTGGCTGTTTCTTATGTGGTCAGCGGTGTCCAGAATGCGACCGAGCAAAGCATCTCGTGTTGCCACCTTCACATTGTAAACCAGTTCTTTCATCCATCCCCACACACAATAATCCAGTGGGCTTAAGTCTGGAGACCTGGCTGGCAATTCTTCGCATACTCATATGTGGACTGCGGTGTGCCATACGAACGCCAAGAAGACCAGGAAAGCTGCTGTGATTGTGAAAAATTGGATTTTGTGTATATTATGTGTGTATGTAATTTAACACTCAGAACACCATTGTGATAGTAGTTTCCAAATAAGTATCGATGTTCCCTCTGAAGATGATCCGTAAGGATCGAAACATGTAAGGGTACTAAGTTTTCAAGTAGTAAAACTGAAATAGTCACACTGGATGGAGTTGTTTTGTCTTTGTAATTGTTAGTGTGACGGACTAGAATGAAACAAATCAAATCTATATTGTACTACAAGTATATATAGACAGGTGTCTAGTTAGGGAATAACTTGGCCATGTACAAGCAACTCTGCATATATATATATATATATGTACATACACAAACACACAATGTGATACAGCATAGATGAAACACCTGTTCACCTGATAGGAGGCACGTATGTAAGCAGTAATGTGGGTACATAGAGAAGCGGATCCATATATTGTAATACAGTCATCTATAGACGCGTCTATATTTGTATAGTCAGATATATATATATGTTACAGCATATGAGACACACATATTTACCTTACAGATGTGTCTCCTTCACCCTATCACAAACACATACAGGGAGGCTGACACTAATACATACATACAAAAGACATACGTATTGGTTGTGTAACACCCATGTACAAAGGCACCTGTATAGGGAATGATCGACATGTAGAAAACAGATCTATGCCCTCTTCTATAGTCATGAACAGTCAGCCGTCTATACAGAGGTGACTTCATAGACTGCACTAAAAGTACATAGAGGAATATAGATATAGGCATACAGCAGCACTAATATGAGCAAGTAGAGAGTCACCTCTCTCTGCTGTAGTATGCACATTTACGGAGAAGCCTCCATATATGTTGCAACATAATTAAAATTACTTCTCTATAGAATGTGCTTTATGAATGGACAGAGACACTGCTTTACAGGCAGTCACAATGGATATGCACAAAAAGGCTTCAATATAGGCAGTAACACAGGTTATGTAACATGGATATGTAGAGAGTAGTGTCTGTATATTCAGTAAAATTGGTATGTACAGACGCAGTTCTCTATAATGTAACACAGAAATACACAGAGAGGTATGTTTAATATAGGCATGCAGAAATGGGTCTCCATACACTGTTCTATCAACATGTACAGATAAGCACCTCCACAAGCACTAAAATACTAAATTCAAGAACTACACAGTAAACACATGCTCAGAGGCAAATACAGTGGTGTCTACACATGCTGTACTCTCGACTTAAGCTGAGAGGCTTCTATATAAGGAGTAATATGAACACGTAGAGAGCGCTCTATATATCATAATATCGATATATATGGAGACTTGTCTATGTAGGCAGTAATGCAGGGATGTAAATAGATGTGTGTGTGTGTAACTGAAAAATTACTCTCAGTTTTAACTTCCCTTCTAACAAGAAAGCAATAAAGATACTCATATACATAATTACACCACACTATTTGTGATTAAAAGATCCTATTATTATGAACCCCTCACTTTCGCTGGCACTTCTCTTGCTAAACCTTGAGAAAAATAACTTCCTCTTAAAAAATAAATATAAAATTAAAAGCAGATAAAAGAGTTAGTCTCACCACCACAGACTGTCCATCCTTAATTAGGCATATCCTATGCTAAGACAGCCTGTCCTAGCCCATCTAGGACTAGTTTAGAGTAAGCCTGCCCAGAACATCACACAGCCTGGTCTTCCCTTGCCCAACTAACCCTAACTTAGGTTAGCCTGATGTAGCCCTGAAGAGCCTAGCTTTGTCATGAATACCTGAATGCATACAACACCATCACAGACTCAGCAGAGCGAAGACTGATTTCTGTGCTTTAGGTCTCCTACTAAGGGATGCACCTGGGCTATGCCATAGCTCAGGTAGCCAGTGACTAGTTCCTCACCATGAAGACATGGGTACAGTCCCAGGCTGGTCCATGGAGGTTTTCTAGTGAAAAAAGTGGTATTGAGACACTGCATCACTTACAGTATGCATCTAATCAGGAAGGTTTCCGAGCTTTGAGGCTCCTATAAGAGAATTGTCTAGTCTGGCTACGTTCTAGGCTTAAAGACAGGTCTTACCTGTCTTGCATGTGCAAGCATGCTGGTTTCTGGGCTTAAAGCATCAAGTAAAGGTGTCTAGGCACACTTCTCTTCAGGTTCTTAAGGCATCTGGGCAGTTTGGATATCCTGACTGTAGCTTTACCCGGTTTCCCGCAGTTTCTGCTGGCAAATGTCATTATAATACCTTTAATTGTGCCACAATCAGTTCCTTTCACAACTTTTCTAACTCACTGTTCACTAATCCCTCTACTACATGACGCTATATAATCAAGCTACTAACAGAGTCGTATTACATATAGCATAAACATATTAAATCGAAGTTGAATTTCTATTATAATATTTTGTTTCTTTTTTGCAATTACAATATTTGCTCTACACTATATGTGTACACATATCATAAAAAACTAATGAGGGTCACAATATCCATATTTCAATATTGCCATAAATAGGTGTGAATGTTTCATGACCCATAAGCCACAGTATGTCTACCTCTGGGTTATATTGTGTTCAGAATTGTGCCCTGTTAACCTCTGCAACGATATGTGGTGTGTCAACTGTGAGAATTAAGTAGAATTTCATCCTGGGATCTATGCATCTCTGGTGAAAGACTCGCAGGCCATGCATTTATAGCACAAAATGTGAAAACGGCTTAATTTAATGGAATGAACAATAACTGACTCAATAATAATAATAATAATAATAATAATAATAATAATAATAAATACTCCGTGATTTTAGTCCGAAAGTGAACTATACCGACCGAGGGACTGCCGCTTGTTGGTGAAGTTAGTGCCAACTCTTGCAGATAGAGGGTGTCGCATGGACAGTGCAACAAATCCCCACAGCCATTAATGTCGGTTTTCTAGACCGGAGCCGCCATTTCCTTCAAAGAGCTCCTCAATTATTATCACAAAGCTGAGTGGACCCCATTCCAGACCCACTACTTCTCAGAAAAAAATCTGGTAGCACTGGGAATCGAACCCGGACCTCTGGATCTGTAGGCAGGAACTCTGACCACTAGACCATAGAGGCGGTTCAACAACAATAACAACAACAACAACAACAACAACAATAATAATAATAATAATAATAATATGAACACAATTAAGGTGATGTACTGGTACTCTGGCAGTTATTCTGTATCATGAATATCTCTTTTTCTAATGCAGGAGAGCCTCAGCTGAGCTCAAACTTCTCTGAGATGTGTGAGTGTGGCCACATGTGTCCAGTGCTAGATGACAGCAGTAGCAGCACAGCAGACAACAGCTCTCCAGCAATCACTAATATGGATGCAACAAACATCATCATCTTCAGCAACCACAGCGATGAGAATATACTCCTTCATGTAGAAGATACAGAAACTAATTTCACTATAACAACAGAATCAAATCCAGAAGTTTTAAATATGAGTCTCAGTACTTTAGGCTTTCAAGGAAATTTTGTGTCCAACATTATGGAACCGTCTCTAAACATCAGCAGCAGCAGAGTACCAAATTCTCTGAGGTCAAATAATCACGCTACCAGCACAAAAAACTTTACAAAAGTAAACATAATGGATCAAAATGTAACAAGACAAGAAAACAAAACTACCACACAGTTTGTTCCTCACAGAGTTCCAAATGCAATAGTAGGCACCACTATCTCCAAACCCAAAACATACCTTCGAGAAACACAATTTCAGAGTCTGAACAAAAGATTAAGTCAAAGACTACAGATGATAACTTCATCACCAGTAACTTCTGCTGTCACAGAACCCTCACATCTACGACAGGAGACCAGATCCATCAACAAAGAACGTCAACACATTGCATCAGAAGTGCTTCCATCTGACTCTACAACAGATCAGACTTCTCTGCCACAACATGGTGGCCTTGATGGAAGTGAAAAGTTATTTGTTCTAGACCGGGACACTCTCTGGGGGATGCTCCGAGAAGTTGTTCATGTCGAACTTGACAAAAAACAACCAGTTCTGGAAGACACTTCACTCAGAAGTAAGCATTCTAAGAAAACTGAATTTGACTGAGAATTAAAGGCAGGTCTGGAAGTTTGTGACTTCTTTGTAACTTAAAATAGCCGCGTGTCTCTTCAATACTACGCTCAAAACCAACGTAACACTGCAGTAACCACCAGCATAAATTGCGAAACTAATAAGAAGTGATGTGACCCCAGTGATACTTAATATCTTAAACTCTGTTACACAAATGTAGACAACTGAAAATAACTGAACAATTTTATCACTCTGTGAAAGAAGCCAAGAACATAGAACAGAATATAATGGGAGGAAAATTTCCAGAATTAGTGACCATTTTACACGTATAGGTATTAAAATAATGTTTTCATATTTACTGGACAATGAAAAGCAGAACTTCTATACTGGATTGCAGAAATGATTTGAGTTGATACTCTCTCCTTTACAGTTACAGTGTTCCATCTGAAACATGATCCATATGAAGTAACCTAGAAGGTGCTAGTTTTCTTTCATTATTTCCCCTTGAAAAGGGTATATTGTGTAACGGATTGTTACAGAATTATGCCAAAGCAATCAGTTGTGACATTCCAAGATGCAAGAAGTCAGAGCATTGAGTCTCCACACATTATTACCCGTCCGGTTAAGATTGACATTTCCATGGAAGGCTGGTACTATGAGACCAGTCAGCAGTCTTCTTCCAAAGTATAATGCAAGGATGGTGTTGTTAGTGTACTGTAATATGATAGTTTGGTGGTGAAACTATATACTTAGCATATTTGTGTATGTGGCGTCAATTTCATAGCCATGATAGTAATGAACACAGAGACTACAATTTTCATTCAACATTCTTAATTCATAAACTCATGTTAATAGACGTAACAGTAGTACAACAGTCATTTTTAATCTTTCATTAAATAATATTTTTCGTAAGAGTAACAAGTAGTGATATAGATAGTGGGCTGATTTGGTTAAATGTCCACATTGGTGCTGGCTTATTCTTGATACATGTTACTGCATTGGTAAAAATTTCTGGCATGTGAAGAGTAAGCTTGGAAAAGATGGACTGCCTGGAAAATCATAAACAAAACTGTATATGCTATAACATTCTCTGTATTTCTTTGAATGGCTTAAGAAGCACACTACTTTATGTTCAAAATGCTTTACCTCCCATTCTTACATACTGTTTCAAGGGTAGTAAAATGTTCAGATTACATATTTTGTTTTAAAATAAAACTCCTGCTTCATGCACAAACTGAAAAATTTAGAACTAACAATTTTTTTATACTTTTCTGTTATTTCTTGAATAACTAAGATTCCCATTTTATGGCCTTGTGTGATGATAAAATGCTTTGATCACATTTTTTTGAGGAAATGTAAATAGGTTGAGGTCTCATTTGTACATGTTAAATTAAAAACTGGTATCTTGGATGTTGAGTGAAATTATTACTCTTGAGGTACCCATATTCCTTATCCTCTTCCAAAATTTCACATGAAGTTCATTTATGATGCCTCAGTTAATGATATCTTATGCATGATAGAGCATAAATGGAATTTACTGTCATCAAATTTCACAAAACTTTCTAAGTGCAAAATTTCTAGCCATTCAAGCTAATGGTTACACACAAATCTGCATGTATAATTTCAATATTCATTCATTACATATGACTGAAGAACTGTACTTTGAAAATGAAATGTTCATATGCAAAATACGAGTACTATATATGCCTCTTGATTTGAAATGAAATGTGTTTCTTTATGCTGCATTTCCTAGTGTTCATATTTGATAACAATTACAGTCAACTCTCGATTATCCGGGCTAATGGTGGGGATGGAAGTCACGGTTAATCGAAAACCCGGTTAAGCCAAATTTTATTATATGGGCTGGACGACTGTGAAGGGTCGGAGTTCGAGTCCCGGTAGGGTCAAGAATTTTAACTTCTCCAAATCGTCCAGACCGGCTCTGGGGTCCATCCAACCTCCTATCCAATGGGTACCGGGGGCTCTTTCCCCGGGGGTAAAGCGGCCGGGGCGTGAAGCTGACCACTCACCTCCAACTAGTGCCGAGGTCAAGAAAATTTGGATCTATACATCCACTCCCCCACACGCCTTAATGGCGTAGGGCTTAATTCGTTGAGCAGAGGAACAACTTTACCTTTTACCTTTTAATACCTTCATAATACTATAGACCTACCTGTATTTAAATTTATTCATCCTCATTTCTATGTCATCTCATGGCCTATTTAATACTTTCTTTACATTACACTCAGTATGAATTAGTTATTTCAATCACTGTTCAACAACATCCAGCACTT